TCTCTCTTTTTCTGTCACCCACCCTTCCCTCTTCTCTCGTCTCTCTTTCTCACTCCAGACTCGATCAATTTCCACGTCAGGCACAAAGAGGGCGAGTCTAATCCACTTTGACTCACCTCCTCCCATCACCTCACTATCCCAACCAACCTTCATATTCGCTCTCTCTCTCTCTATCTCTCTCTCCTCTTTCTTTACCCCCACCCCTTTTTCTATTCCCTACAAAACTTACCCCAAGGGGTGTAGCCCGGTGTGCCGCCGCCGCCCGCTAGTCCCCGTTTTAGCAGTGTGTCCCCGGCAAATGTGTTGGCGGCCTGCCCCTCCCACCCGACCAGCCGCGATCCGGTCGAGTTGACAAAGCTCCTGTGCGGCCAAGGTTGTCGCCGGCCGGAGGACCAGTACCGGTTTGAATATTCCGAGGACAGTCTCGAGGACCGCAGTGTCGCGGCTCCGCCGGCTCAGCCCCTCGAAACACGTCACAGCCGCCCCCGCGCCCCTATGGCCCGCGGCGCTCTTACAGTACCCCCTCCCAGCGGCCGCCGCCGCCGCCCGCTTAGCCATAGGGCGGGTCACTCGACCGCAGCTGTCCCAGGCCAGGAAAGCAAGCAGACTTCAAAGGAAGTACGCCAATTGTATGGTTCATTGGATCACAATCAGGGTCTTGTCCGGCGCGGTGGCTGGGCCGGCTGGGCGCGGCCAATGGGGCGGGGGAGGGGTGGGGACAGCAATGGCATGGAATATGCCATAGCTGCGGCGGTGGGCAGCGTGACTGGCTGACCGTGTGGTGGAGGTGAGGGGGCTGGGGGAGGGTTTCCGGATTCCCCCCCTGCTCCTGTTTCACCCTTTGCGGCCCCCGCCCGCCCCCGCGGAAAGGGTTGAGTGAAAATGGAATTTGTCACGCGAAATTGGCATTTTAATCTTCTCGTGGCATTCTTGTTGGCTCGCGCGCTGGTTCAGCGCACAGATGAATTCAAATACGCGCGCCGGCCCGGCCGATATTAATCGAGTTGCGTTCCCATAACTAAGTGCGCGGTGAGGCCGGCCCGCCGGGGGCCGCACCGGGCCGCCCGGGGCCGCGAGGTGCCGCTGCTGGGGGCTCACGTCACCACCTGCCGGTGGGGCCAGGTGCGTATCGACTGAACCATCTGCCTGCTGTTTCAGGATCCTGCGCACGTACGTCCGCAACGTGTACTCGTACCACCTGCACGAGATCTTCTCCACGGCCGTCAACGAGTACACGGACTGGGAGCGCACCGAGCTGCACCCCATCAACACCCGAGACGCCACCGTGTCGGCGCTGAGCGACGCCCAGTTTGTGGCGCCCGTCGTGCAGATGGCGGACCTGCTGTCCGCGGCGGCCGGCGTGGAGCGCGGTCCTGGGGGTGGCGGCGGAGGCGGCGGCCGCGACCACGGCGGTGACGACCTCGACGGCCGCGACCCCCACGGCGGCGACCTGTCGGGCCTGGACGGCGGGGAGGACGGACACGGGCACGAGCACCACAGCCACGGCGACAACAGGGCCTACTTCTACGTGTTCGACTACCAGTTCAAGGACAGCGAGTACCCCCAGGTGAGCCCTAGCACGCTGTGCGGTACAGAAGGGCTTTGTCTTTGCCGGCGGCTAGGTCGGTGTCGGTATCGCATTGAACCTTGATGGAGCAAGGGGATGAGGCGTTGCTCCTCGCAAGTATCGGCAAAGTTTCTGATATGGTTGCACGAGTCTTTTGTCGGCGCGGCGTTGCCCTCGCCTCGCGGCACACCCCGTCTGCACCTGAAGGTCGGACGCAGGGAGCAGCGGGCGCAGTGCGGAGACTGACTCTTTCACCTAAAAAAAATAAAAGCTGTAACAACAACCACCGTATCGTTTCTTCAGGGACAGCCGTAAAGTGGTGGTTGGAGCACCATTAAAATGGCCCTTGGAACTATCACATAGTCCTGATACGTAACTGCATTTTCGTTTATTTTGCAACCATATTGTGGTTGTTCCTGAGGTAACCGAACGATGGTTGCTTAGAGCTCTCCACTTCTCTATGGGTGCTGGTGCAAACGCTTATTGAATGCGAAATATTATGAAAATTAGTCGCAGCCGACCGCACGTCAGTTCGCTGGTGGTGGCGCCACCTCGGCCTGGATTGACATGGCGGGGAGGGGAGGGGGGGGGGGGGGCGAGGAGAGACAGCGCGACGGCTGATCCGTTAATTGCCTTAGGGGGAGGGCGGCGCTCCTATTGCAGCCTAGGGCAAAGCTCCCCTCTCTCTCCCTCTCTCTCCCTCTCTCTCCTCCCGTCTCACCCCTCTCCCCCCGCCCGGTCTAAAACTGTTTCTGCTAGCTCTAGTTTCCCCTCTCACCCCCTCCCCTCTCTCCCGGCGGCTCCTTGAGTGGTGTGTGCGCGGGTTGCGTCCCAAACTTGATTTAGCTCCGAAATAAGCAAACATGCCCCAATTACTCTAACCAAGTACAGTCGTTGTTCGTTAACGGTGCAGCGGAGCCCTGGCCCCGCCCGGCCCTGCATGTGTCGGCGGCGGGATGAGTGCCGGGGAAAAAAAGAGTCGTGTTGGACGTGACTGGATCGGGTCCAGACGAGGCGTGGCGGAGTGGGGCGGGGCGCTGGGCAAGAGTTATTATATTTAATGAACGCGACTCGTGACACGTACTCCGCTAGACGGAAGTGTGGGGTGGACGACGCTCTCTTAAGCACTCACTGGTGAATTTTCTTCAAAATGAAGAGACGCGTGTTGTTTGTTTTGGTACTGGTAAACTAGCCACTTTGCCACTTACTTCTGGGCCTGTGCGTACCCCACTGCGCCCCTCTAAACTGTGTAAATAGACAAGCGATTGTAAGCAAACCATAAACGAGCACCCGGGAGACAGCTGATAGTACGCGGACACAATAGTTATTCTTCAGCAGACCCTATGACCGTACTAAAAATTTCTAGGTATCAAGGCAAATGGTTTTTTTTAGTGCCACAAAACATTTATAAACATCTACTTATTCACAACCAGTTCTTGATTGAGCGTTTTTAAATTTACAACAACTGTGAAAAAATATTACCATTACTTGTCGCACTACGGAACCGCTGGAAAGAAAACTAGCGACAAGAGTTATAGAAGAAGCCACCGTATTTTGCGCTTCCGTCATCACTGCCCGTTTCTTAGTATGTGGATACAGAGTTCACGAAACGCAAGCGTGATTTTCACGCCAGGCGTGATTAGGCGTGACTTTCACGCTTCGTAAGCTTCAAGCAGCCAATCAGGAACCGACTTTCATGAAAGCCGGGCGTGAAAATCACGCCTGGCGTGAGAATTACACTCGCGTTTAGCGAACTCACCTTTAAAGGTAAGGACAGGGGCGCCGTATAGTAGTTGGGTTTCAAACAACACCTTGTTTTGTTTTCTAGTTTAACGTCTTGTCCAACAATTTCGTGCATTTTCCTGCCTTCGTATCATTTTTCTGTCATCGATTGAACTTGATGACCATCTCGAGCCGTTAGCCACTGCTTTGTTCGAAACTAGTTCTCATCCCTTATTGCTCCAAGCAGAAGGCATGGCACTCATTTCCCAGTAGTGTGTCACATTTTGCAAGCAGTTTCCACGAGTTTCCAAGAAGCAGTTCGCTCCGGATAGCCCCCATAGTGCTTGGAAAACGGCGCCCTATACCGGCTGCCAGTCTGCTTGGAGCGCGCGATGTTAGTGCTTGGAAGCAAAGCAGCCGGCTCTGTTTACCGCGACTACATAGATAGTTGTCGGGGCGTGCCGCCCCCGTCCACCGCGCCGCGGGCGGTCCGCTGCCGGGCCTGCTCCGTGAAGTGCGAGTGCGACAGACGGGCGTTCAAACACGAGCGGTCCGGCCCAGCCGGGCCCGGCCCCACCGCAACGCTCGGCGGCCCTCGCTCTGCGGTTCACGGCGCGCGGGCGGGGAGGGTCTGGCGCGGGCTCGCGTAGGGTCAGCGGCGCCCCGGGGTCACCCCCGGTCGGGACCGCCGCGCCAGGCGTCAGGCCGCCAGGTCGGCGCGACCTGGCTCAGGCTACCAAACCGCAGCGGTAGAGTTTGCCATTCGATGCCTGGGCTGCACGTCATCACGCCCAGCCGCGCGCCCGCCACGCCTCCCGGCCCCGTGTTA